CTGCCCAACCGAGTTGAATCCGTCGATTGACCTCTCGGTCGAAGTTGGACTTACCTAGTCGGACTATTTATCCCAGGTAAACATACTCGTCAACAACTTCGAGCTTAGTGTTCCCAACAACTACCGGCATAGGTGTGACATGGACATTAAACATGATCTTTGTTTTGTCCATGTTCATCTTAAGACCTATCCGTTGGGAAACACTATTAAGATCATTGAGCATAGTGCTTAGGTCCTCCAGCGATTCTGCCATAAGGACTATATCGTCGGCAAATCGAAGGTGAGTGATGTACTCGCCATTGATGTTGATACCGTATCCTTTCCAGTCCAGAAGCTTAAAAACATCTTCCAATGCAGCGGTAAAGAGTTTCGGGGATATGACGTCACCCTGTCTTACACCTCTCTGCAATTAGATAGGTTTCGTACTCTGGTTCTGTACTCGGATAGCCATCGTAGCCCTACTGTACAAGCACTTCAACACTTCGATATACCGACAGTCAACTTGGCATCGCTGAAGGGACTGCAGCACCGCCCAAATTTCGACGGAATCAAAGGCTTTCTCATAGTCCACATACGCCAGACATAGTGGCAAATTGTACTCCTCGGACTTCTGTACAATTTGCCGAAGGGTATGTATGTGGTCTATGGTGCTAAAGCCTTTTCGGAAACCGGCTTGTTCGGGAGGCTGGAAGTCGTCAAGTCTGCGCGCGAGACGATTCGTAATGACTCTCGAAAACAGCACGTAGACGCGGCTCAGAAGGGAAATCGGTCTGTAGTTCTTCAAGGGAGCGTTGTCGCCTTTCTTGAAGAACAAGACCACCGCAATTCTGCTCCACGCCTCCGGTGTAATGCCACCATGGAGGACTGAATTAAAGAGCTTCTCAAGGACTTCAAGTACCGGTTTTCCACCCGCTTTCAGAAGCTCTGCTGTAATTCCATCCTCGCCTGGGGCCTTGCCGTTTTTAAGGTGCTGGAGAGCCATTCTAATCTCGCTCAGACTGACGTCCGGGATATCATCGGAATAATATCGGATAAGACTCGCTCTTGGATCGTTACTCACACTTGCATGCGGCTCCAACGATGACGTGTACAGCTGCCCATAGAACCTCTCAATCTCACTCAAAATCTCAGGTGCCCCGGAAACGATGCTGCCACATTCTGTCTTCAGCTTTGACAGTTGGCGCTTTCTGGCAGACAGATCTCTGGCAAAGACTTTGGAGCCTTGGTTCCGCTCGATCGCTTCTTCAATACGAGCTGTATTGAAGTTGCGTAAGTCCCGCCGCATGCATTTGGAGATCTGTCTGTTCAGTTGCCTGTATGCTGTCAAATCTGTTGAAGAATGTAGCTTCATCTCCCGTCTAACAGCCATGAGATTAAGAGTGTGATCGGAGAGTTTTTGTGTTCTTCTGCGGCGGATCTTGCAGAACTTAGCTCCGACCGCATGGACAGTTTCCACGAGCTTGTCATTCAAATCGTCCACTTCATTGCAGTCTTCTAGGCACTGAAAACGGTTTTGTAACTCGAGCTGAAAGGTTTCGGGACTTTGGATTAGAGCACGAGGGGGACGGAGCGTTGACTTCATTAGACGAGACCTCTCCAACTTAACGTTTAGGTTCAGTGTGCCTCTAACCATTCGGTGATCGCTGCCGGTTTTCACCCTCGCGATCACTGAGACATCACTGAACAGTTGTCGTCTGGTCGTCATAATGAAGTCAATCTCATTTTTTGTCGAACCGTCGGGGCTCGACCAGGTCCACTTCCTGTGGGGCCGCTTCTGGAAGAAAGAGTTCATCATAAAGAGTCCCTCTTTCTCCATGAAGTCAGCCAACTGCTGGCCCCTTGGGTTCCGTTACCCTATTCCAAATTTCCCTACTTTCAGCTCACCGTTCTCTCTTGTGCCTAGTTTTGCATTGAAGTCTCCCATTAACACCGTATATTGGGTTTTGGAGGAATGCATGGCTCTAGAGATATCCTCATACATTTCCTCCACCTCCTGATCGGGATGTGCCGAGGTTGGTGCGTAAACCTGTATGACCTTCAGCGAATACCGTTTGGTGATTCTGAGTATAAGGTACGCAACCCTCGTCGACACACTCTCAATCTTTACAACGTTGTTAACGAGAGACTTGTGGACGATAAATCCGACACCTCCTTGGGACAGATGGTCGCCCTCCCGGTAATAGAGCAAGTTGCCGGATTCGAGGATTACCGTGTCCTCCCCCTCTCTTCGGACTTCGGATAATCTTATGATATGCCAGCGTAACTTGTCTATCTCTTCTTCCAGCTCCACAATCTTCTCGTCAGTCCTAAGGTGCGTGCGTTGTATGTTGCCAGGTCGAGTCGTCGTAGGTGGCAACCGAACCTCCACCGGAGATTCTTAGCACCCCCTGCCCCGCCGTTACCATGGTCGCCACCGTAGCCAGGAATAGCGGGGCCGCCGGGGACTGGGGGCCGTTTATTATTGTCATTGCTCATGGGGGGTATATTGCCATAGTTGCCACGCTTGGCGAGCGGGTTGGCAACCGCAGTTTTTTTTATTGTTATTTTGGCTATTATCAGGAAGATGCTGCTGTCCATCTCCTGCCTGTTTCCCTTTGTCGCCTTTTACGACACCCACGGGAAGATATGGGGTAGTGGATATTCTTAACCGCCACTACACGGATTAGGAATGATAATACATTTTTACAGTATATAATAGGCATAGGTACCTACGATATGCGCGCCTCCTACTGTAAGTTAATTGCACATTGCCTATAACCTTCGCACAAGTGCATGCAATAAGTTGACAAAGTTTTACCGCAATCTGATAAACTGTATTGCTACGCATAAAATATGGACAAACAAATATTAACACTGTCACTGTCCGGTTCTCAGACACAATAGTAAGACAATAGCAATGACCTATATATAGTGCACTGGACTGCGAAAGGGTTAATTTTTATATTCAAATACAATTACACTATCATTACTACTACAGCTCTTCACAATTCCACCGCTGAACGGAGGCCGCCCCCATGTTTTACCACAAAATACGGTCTTGGGTTACCTGTATCTATCGACTAGTAGTGGCTTGTTTATCACTGCGCTGGTAGTATGTACGAGGCTGCCACGCAAGAATCTTTCTTACTCCATCAGTAGCGTACTTATTCGTTAGGATTTGTGACTCTTGTTTTTCTGCGAATATGCTCGTGTACGGATTTTTTCCGGAGCTCACACTGCCATCTACCGAGCCCAGCTGTGAATCTAAACTATCCAGGAACCTATTAAAAGATTGGTAGATAATATTAAGGTCACTGAGTATATTTCAGGCGCTGAGGTCCTCTTCGAAAATCGAAAATGAGTGTTGTAGGTACTCCCGATTGATGTTAATACCGTATCCTTTCCAATTCAGTAGCTTGAACACGTCTTCTAATGCAGCGGTGAAGAGTTTCGGGGATATAACGTCACTATGTTCTACACCTCTCTGATTTTGTACTCAGATAGCCGTCATAGCACTACTATGCAAACACTTCAGCGCTTCAATATACCGACAATCAACTTAAATTGACTCCCTTAAATATTTATCAACAATAAATTATAATTCTCGAAGTCATTTAGTTATGTGAATATTAATACGCACATGCATATTCATGTTAACTGTACCTAAGCTTAAAAGTGTTTAAGTAGTGATTTGTAGTGACCTTTCATAATAACAAAAGGTTCAAAATAACGAATAAATTGATAGAAAAATTTAAACAAATATTCATGCACTAAATGTTGATATATTTTAACGATAAACACACAAAACCAACACATTTCTTATTACTTTAGTACTTTATTTTTATTTAACATACGTACTGCATAATATATGGTAAAATACTTTATATTACCATATATTACGCAATACGTAATTATATATTAATACCATATTATATATGTATATACCGTATTAATACCTCTTATGAACTAACATAGGTAGGTACAAATATTCTTACGTTAATACTTCAAATAATTAAGGTATACACATATTTAGTGTATTTAGTTATTAAGTGGCGAAGCTTGCGAAGTCACTTATTGATTTCAAGATGTCTGTCCGTCTGTCCGTCTGTCCCACGATTATTTCGAGAACTGTTTCGAATTTTCAAATTCTGTTTTCAGCAATCGATTACTGATCACGCAGGCATCTGAACCTCCTATTTTGAAACTGATTGCTCAACGGCAACCGTTAGAAACCGCTACAAAGCTGATTGCTTCGCCACTTTGCTATGCTGTTAGCTTGCTAGATTTTTGATTTCACGATGTCTGTCCGTCTGTCCGTCTGTCCCACGATTACTACGATTTTTAAATAGAATAATTAAATAGAATAAACCTAGCAAGCTAACAGCATAGCAAAGTGGCGAAGCAATCAGCTTTTGTAGCGGTTTCTAACGGTTACCGTTGAGCAATCAGTTTCAAAATAGGAGGTTCAGATGCCTGGGTGATCAGTAATCGATTGCTGAAAACAGAATTTGAAAATTCGAAACCGTTCTCGAGATAATCGTGGGACAGACGGACAGACGGACAGACCGTGAAATCAATAAGTGACTTCGCAAGCTTCGCCACTTAATAAGGGTGACAAATGAGCACACATCTATATCTACATCTATCCTCGATTAATAATCAAAATAAAGATGCGTTGTTTTGTCATTCCGGGGGACTAAGGAGGAATGCATCGTTTCCAGTAAAAAGATCTCCGGTACTCTACACTCATTATAGGAAACACAGCAGCATTTTTCTGCTTTTTCACGTTTTATTATTTGGATATAGCGCTTCACCCATCGAGCCGACCTATTTAAATCCTATCGACATCCTAATGGTGGGCACTGGCTTCCTTTTAATATACTCGTTATATTTTTAGAGAACTTTGTAATTCTATAAAAGCAATCTTCATTTATTTATTTATTTCCCTTAAGAATAATATCGTCAATACCAAGATAGGAAATTTGCAATATTTTATCTATGTATCAGAATATAAAAACATATTAATGAAGAATTATCTGTTCTCTCGTGTTCTCCTTCCTTTTTCCAATAGATAAATCTATGGGTTCATCACACTGCACAGGATAATGTCCCCTGTTCCCAATAACTTTCACAAACTCGTCGGGACTGCATCTGGGCTGGTGGCTTCGGTTATGGCATATCATGCCGTACAGCGGCACAGGTATAGCAATATTGCCCACATCACTAAGATCCGTTTTAACAGTGTGGGCATTGTTGCATTTGGACGCGGTCCGTGAGTGCATTCTAGGACAAAAAATAAACAAATATATAAAAAAGACTTTTTATTTATTTGAAGTTGAATTATTGAAGGCATTGAAAATACAATCCTGAGAATTCCTATTTAATCCTTTAAAACTTAGAATTTTTTATAGGATAGGGTGACAAACGAGCACACAGTCCACCTGATGGTAAGTGGTTGCTGTGGCCCATAGACATCTACATCTATCCTCAATTACAAATCAAAATGCAGATGTGTTGTCACACGTGAAGACTAAAATGGTATGCCTTGTTTCCAGTAAAAAGGGTCTCCGGTTCTCTATACTCACCATACGAATCACAGCAGTTTTAAGTTGCTATTTTACGCTGGCATTCTGTGAGACCGTGGTCCTACCCCGGTCGAGTCGACCCATTTTTGCTACAATATAGCTGCAGCATGACTATAACGCAAAATTGCAACAAACACGAGCTGCGTCACTGAATTCCTCTAGGTTTATCAGGTCACCATTCGATTGGGGCGCTTATCGGTACAATACTGCCTCTTGAGAACATTTAGTTGTCAATCCTTCGAGGTATATAGCGTGACCCTTATCACTTCAGCTTACTTATATAGAGTCTAAAAAAACAAAGGCGTATGCTGACAGCATAAAGAAAATCTTAAAATAGATGGGGTTTCCGGGGTTTCTTGAGACGACTCAGAGAACGAGAAAAGTAGTGACAGCTAACCAGAGGAACATCGTCAAGGTGCAAAGAGTCGGCTCTCTGAAACCTAGGTAAAGCCTAGGTGTAGAAAATGTGGCAACACTGGCATATTATAATAAGTAAAAAAGTAAAGTTACTATGTCACTGATGGAGTACCACGCCTCTTCTCATTCCTGAGAGGGGTTTTAGGTTCAGAAATGATGTGCCTCGCTGTCCCAATGCGTGTTAGATGTTTTCCTTCACCGCCGAACACGTGATAAATCAGTACTAAAATTCCAATTAATGTTAGCTCACCCTCAACTACTGCGATTGTTTAGGCAATGAAAAAATTGCTAAAAATTTGATATAAATTATTTTCTTTCTGCAATACAAACCTCCCAGTATATTCTCTACAACCAGCACACTTAATTTGACCTATTTTCAACACACCGCTAATTTCGTCAATAAACTTTCATCTAAGGCATCCCTTGCCGAATCTACTTCTCACTTCAGCAGCCAATTCCTTTGTGACTCTTTTCTCATTCATTGTTTCTACATGCCCAAACCACCGAAACATTTCTTACTTAATCCTTGTTACATCTTACAAACCATACTTCTCTTTTATCAGACAATTTCTCACCCTAACACTCAGTCAGACCGATGTCCGCAGTTTTCCAGCATTAATTTTATTTTCATGCTTTTTCTGCCACTTTCAAAAGGTGGGGACTAATACAGAATTGTGAATGGCCATACTTGCTTTTGACTTATGTATGTGTGAATATACTTTATAATATAGATATTTAATATACTTTAACTGTGACTGTTGAAAGAATAATGATTTACTAATGTGTTTGTTGCCGCTTTTTCTCACAAGACCTCCCGTAGATATTCTAGCTTTAGCGTAGCTTGCTTCACTATCAAAAAGTGTATTGTAAAGGCCAATTTTGAATAAAAATAGTTTTCACTTTCACTTTGACTTTCACTTACTTATACTTGCGACAGGCGTCCTCACGGTGACGTTCCAAGTAGCGGCGCTGGCTGAAAGCCTTACCGCACTCTGAACAGCGCCACTGCCACGAATGGTGACCGCGAGTACGCTGATGGGCGCGGAGGTTAGACCTGGCGTATCAAAATAATTATCTTAAAATTAATTAATTAATATCCTCCCAACCAAATTTCGCTCATGACAGTCATTCTAAACGGAGACTATCGCAAACACAGCACTATATTTTCAACGTGGGTGCAATACCGCCGACTTCCGACTCTTCGGCACGAACTCCCGCCAACTTCACAGTAGGAGCCGGCTGTTTCTAAACAGAAAAATCTAATAACCAATTTTGGTACGACCCGGAATCGGAACCTGGGATCATATGACCAGCAGTTGCGCTTACGACCACCAGAGCAACTATATAGTCAATCAATCCTAGCCGGCGCTTTTGCCCCTCCACAGTGGTATGGAGTCACCGTTCGTTAATACGAACGGTTCATTGGGTTGTATCCGGTGGTATAATGCTCAATCAAAAGTCTCTCAAAATACTTAGCTATAGTCTCAGAGCCGGAACAATCTACAAGCAAAGTAGGCAACGATTATTGGCCCCGCGTCGCCTACACTTTACTGCATTTATGTACTATATTTAACACAAATATATTTTATTGTATTTTAATTTCACTACGTCATGTAGTAGCGGTGTTACCGAATACACTACCTCATATCATCCCGGGTGTACTAAGAGGTGGGAGGTGGCAAAAGAAAACCGAAGTAAGAAATAGTCAGCAGTATCTTTCTGATAAGAAAGCAAGTACCTATAATACATAAAAAATGCGTAAGTGTCGTGGAACACTCGGTTGGAACGAAGTTCCTTGCGTAGTTTATTATTATTAATAAACGTAGATATTATATTATTGATTAACAAATACAAATAAATGAATTACTTGCGTCTATTAAAATGAAGCGTCATTTGAAATAAAATAATATTTCTTTCATGGCAAGATAAGAAATAGTACGAGGCAGATGGATATTATTCCATCTCACTTCCTTATTTCACCGCCAAGGCCGTCTACACTATACACTACACACTAACACAAGGCTATAAGGCAGTGGACTTCTGACGGTTGCAATGAATGGATGAATGATAATTAATTTCTTCTCAGCCTGTAACTATACTGACTCTCAAACTCAATGCCAATCAAACCGAAACATAACAGTAGATGTATGACGGATTAGCGACTGATATATATTAGGTCATGGTACAAAACCGGATGATCTCCGCGCAGTTGAAGAGCCTTTCCGTTAACATTACACCCATGGTACATTACATTCAAACGTGGTAGAGCCATGCTGCAGCTATATTAATAGTATAGTTGTAGCGCGAATGGGTCGGCTCGACCGGGGAATGACCACGCTCTCACAGAATACCAGCGTAAAATAGCAGCTTAATTCTGCTGTGTTTCGCATGGTGAGTGTAGAGAACCGGAGACCCTTTTTACCGGAAAAGAGGCATTCCATCTTAGTCCTCACGCCTGACAACGCATCTGCATTTTAATTAGCAAACGAAAACAGGTGGACTGTGTGCTCGTTTGTCATCCTTTATAACTATCCGTTTGTCATTCAATAAAAAAATGTAATGTATACTGAATCTGAACGCCTATCCATGTCCAATACACTAGACGTGGTACATGTTAGAACAATCCTACGTTATGACTGCTTTACAAATGGGTTGGTCTATCAACTTGCACTGCTGAACATGGGCTTCCTCCATAGACAGCATCATAGGCTCAAAATTTGCCACAGGTGCCACGTTCTGCAACCGCAGTTTTTATTGTTTTCAGTTGTAATCAATGCTGCCGGATGAAATGGATTGTGGATTATCTTATGCTGCCTCTACACGGCAAATATTACTTTAAAGTTCTAAAGGAGGCCCCACTGACCCGAGTGCTGCACACTCTAAATAAAGTAGCTCAGGATGTAAATTTATTCTGCTGTTCCTTTGGTGAATTCACAAAAGTGACATTATATGTATTATGTTATAATAGTAGATAAGTTGTGTTCTGTACTTATTAAATTAGATAGTTTTATTTTTATATGCCTGCACTGTCGTATTAGGTACGCGGTACGCCTGTAAAGATAGAAGTAGAAATAAATAAATTGTAATAACATAATAAACATCCAAACAAAAGAGGACAGTTTGATATTTTTATGATTGCTGTACAAAACATAAATGTACTCTCTATATCGTCACTCTCATAGTTCGAGGGACGGTAATTCGACACGAGAGGAGAAGATTAGGCACCGCCTACTTCCTTATTCCGAGCCGCTACTGAGAATTTTTGACAGAAAAATCCAATGATAAACAGTCGCCTTTACGACCACTAGATCAACGAAGTAATCAAATTTTCGGAAAAGTCTTTATAATACTTTGTTACTGTTTTTGCGTACAAAGTATCAAATAATGCAATTTGAAAGCTTCTATTGAGGCGTACAAAGTAGTACGTCATATTTTATATTTTAAGGTTTAAACTTCCAGTTATTATTGATTTACTCTATGGTACAAACCATTAAAGTGCATTTAGTTTACGACTCCTCGTTTTACTGTCCCTACGCTAGTTTACGTTGGACAAACAGTCACATAAATTGCAGGCATGTCCGGTGCGAAGTCTTGAATAATATTTTTTACAAACGTAATTTTATAGCCTGGTGAACCTACTTGTAACAGTAAAACTAGAATTCAAAGAAGGCTTTATATTAAATTTACAGCTTAGGAGCACAGTGGCTAAGCACTTGGCTTTCACACCACAGAGAAGCACCGAAGACTCCCTCTATGACATGATGGAATACATACGTACACAGTTACGGAACAAGAAGATTGTAACTATGATATCCCTTGACATAGAGGGAGCATTCGATAGTGCTTGGTGGCCAGCAATAAGATGTCGGTTGGCTGAGGAAAGATGCCCCATAAACATCAGGAAAATGGTTGACAGTTATCTCCAGGACAGAAGAGTTAGAGTGAGGTATGCGGGTGTTGAGCATACACAGAAAACAACAAAAGGGTGCGTACAAGGCTCCATAGGAGGACCGGTACTGTGGAACTTGCTTCTGGACCCTTTGCTCAAGGACCTGGAGAAAAGGGGTGACCGGTGCCAGGCGTTTGCTGACGACATCGTCCTGTTGTTTGCAGGTGACACGGCTCTTGAGATCCAGGGACGTGCGAATGCCGCTCTTGAACATGTTCGGAGGTGGGGAATTCGTAACAAACTCAAATTCGCGCCACATAAGACTAAGGCTATGGTTATGACTAATAAATTGAAATACGATTCCCCACATCTTAACATGGGCGGGATAGGCATTGGCATGTCGGAGGAGGTAAAGATGCTGGGTGTCACTATAGACAGGAAACTCACCTTTAACACCCACGTGAGAAATGTGTGTAGAAAGGCAACAGCACTCTACAGCCAACTATCAAGAGCTGCAAAGGTTAGTTGGGGCCTTCAACCAGAGATTATCAGGGCTATATAAACGGCGGTTGTTGAGCCAGTAGTTTTGTACGCGGTGAGCGTGTGGGCACCGGCCGCTAGCAAGTTGGGAACAAAAATGCAATTAAATGCTGTGCAAAGAGGATTCGCTCAGAAAATTATTAAAGCTTACCGGACGGTCTCCCTCCGCTCGGCACTGGTATTGGCTGGCTTGCTTCCTCTAGACCTGAAGGTCCAAGAAGCAGCCACCCTTTTTGAGGTAAAGAGAGGTAAACACCGGTCAGTACTAGGGGACCGGGTGGTGGAGGCGATGGCGAGCTTTACGGAGTTGCCCCACCCAGCATCCCATAATATGGACCTGGAGTTCACATGCCTGGTGAACGAGCACGATATGAGACTCAACAACACCCAGAGTCTCCGAATATTTACCGATGGGAGCAAAATAGAGGGAAAGGTTGGAGCAGCATTATCCTTTTGGAAAAATGAAGCTGAGACCAGAACTCTAAAGCTCAAACTGTCGGACTACTGCACCGTTTACCAGGCGGAATTACTGGCCATATTAAGGGCAACTGAGCGAATCCTCAGTAGCAACGAAAAAAGTTTTGGGGTTTACAGTGACTCGAGAGCAGCACTCGAGACCATTGTCAACCAAGACACCAAACATCCCCTTGCAGTTAAGACTCGCAGAAATATACAGTCCATATTTTCGCAACAAAAAGTTATCCAATTATTCTGGATAAAAGCCCACGCGGGTCTGATAGAAAATGAGCGGGCCGATGAGTTGGCGAAACATGCTGCGTTGCGAAGTAAAGAAAAACCAGACTATGACCTTTGCCCAGTGTCATTCATAAAAAGACTCATCCGACTGGAGACCTTAGAAAAGTGGAACCAGAGATATATAGAAGGCGATACGGGTAAAATAACAAAAGTCTTTCTCCCAAATGCTATAAATGCATATAAGTTTGTAAGGGAAACAGCACTGTCTTCTACAATGATACAGGTCATGACCGGGCATGGTGGGTTCTCTGAGTACTTGCACCGATTTAAATGTAAGGAGAACTCATCATGTCTCTGTGAACCGGGAGTTGAGGAGACAGTGCTGCATATAATCATCAAGTGTCCCATTTTTGGTAAAGAGAGACAAGAGTTTGAAACATCGTTCGGTATTAAACTGGAAAGCGGCAACCTTTGGTCAATGTTGTTAGAAAGAAAAACAAGAACAAAGTTTATAAGATATTGTGAAGAAATTGTTAAAAGAGTCATTAAAAGAAATCAAACTTAAAATAAAAATGGCAAAATATAACAATTGTGTTAAAATAAATAATATTAATGTAAATATTAATAGAGCAATATTCTATGGAAAATTGTCGATATGTATATATATATGTGTGTGTGTATGTATATATTTATGTATATGTAAGTGTATGTTTATATGTATGTATGTATTAGTGTATGTAGGTGTGTTTATATATATACAACGGATCATTCAAACAGATGTTAGAAAGCTTCGTGTATTACATCGGTGCTTCCTTGTGTCTATATCGCGTATAGACAGAGAGAATGCCCCGAATAAAATGTGATTTTGCAAAATAACAATTAATCAAGAAACTAATAACAATTAAGATATAAAAGGACTCTGAAATTAAATGTCAGAGGGCTGCAGGAAAAAAAAAAGCACTTGGCTTCAGCGTTGCGGGGCCGCGGGTTTGCATTCCGCACGGTACACTTTTGCCTCTAGATGACGTGGAACTATAAAATCAGATACAGAACTACTAGATGATAGTACTACCCTTTCTACTCAGGAATCTGGGTAGGTTTTTTTATAGGATAAGGGTGACAAACGAGCACACAGTCCACCTGATGGTAAGTGGTTGCTGCGGCCCATAGATATCGACATCTATAATCTATTACAAATCAAAATGCAGATGCGTTGTCACCCGTGAGGCCTAAGATGGAATGCCTCATTTCCAGTTAAAACGGTCTCCGGTTCTCTACACTCACCATACGACACAGCAGCGTTAAGCTGCTATTTTACGCTGGTATTCTGTGAGAGCGTGGTCCTTCCCCGGTCGAGCCGACCCATTCGTGCTACAACTATACTACTAATATAGCTGCAGCATGGCTCTACCACGTAAGAAACCACCACCCTTTTACCTATTTCTGCCGCCAAAAGTGCGTGCACTGCTGTGTTCTGATTTGAAGAGTACAAGGAGGCAGTATAATTACAGGTTGTGTGAAATTCCATCTTCGTCCTCAAATATGACAAAGCATCTGAAGCCTTCTTTATTTGGAGTCTGTTGCGGGTATAGAACAGATCCATAACAAAGCTCTTAAGCTAGTTATTTATACGCTGGAAATAGGTCGCAAACTACCGTCTTGTCAGGAGACACTACCTAGATTTGGAGTTTCATCGCTCCGCAATAGACGTGCAATACAAGATATTCTTTGCTTACATAAATTAATACACTGCAAAATTGTTTCCCCAAATCTTTTATCCCAAATCAATTTTAATATCAAGTCGAATCCCAGGTGTCGTCTTAATACGATTACATTAAACGTTTATAAGAACATCATTATACAATCATTTAACACGAATGTGTCGCTCTTATAATGATCTGATTTTGACATAGTCTGGTAGGGACACTGACGTCTTTGACAATAATATAAATAAGCTACGCACTCAACTGTTTCACTACTTCAAGTCAACTCCGCATTCATTTTTTATCGTCTTTAATTATTATAAATAAAAAAAAAGAAAAAAAAACTTTCACTAAATTCTCATAAAATTGTTCAATATTAATAATTGTGTTGTAAATTTTTTTTTCTCATAGACATGTTTACGTATAATGCATGTTTTAACTGTATGTACTCGTTTTTGGTTTGTATTCCAGGTTAAAACTTTGTATATATTAGGTATTTATATTACGTAAAAGTGAATATAAACTGTTGTGTACATCCAATAAATAAATAAACTGTGGGTTGCTGTAGCCACTTACCGTCAAGTGGACTGCAAGTTTGTTTTTCACTTTAATTTTATTAAAAGATAAATTCAATATCAACCAACCTGTCGGAGAATGTCCTGCCGCAGCTTGGATATGGACAGGGGAAGGGTCTCTCGCCCGTGTGCAAGCGCAGGTGACCTTTCAACACCCAGGGTCGATCGAAGCCTTTACCGCAGTATGAGCAAATGTGACTTATTCGTTCACGTCTTTCGGTCCATTCGACGAGCTTCGTTTGGATCGGTAGTCCGTCTTCGATTACTTTAACTATATAATTATAATTCAAAATGGCGACCACGTTCAGACCAGTTCTGAGGTAAGTTTGGAGTTCTAAGCCTTTAAGTCAACTTTAAGTCGATCACAAAATTTGTACCGAACAATAAAACAGACAGACAAGTTCACCTATATAAAGTTTTAAATAAACAAATAATAACTTGACCACAGCGCCACCTATCTTGTCCAGATTTGTTATATAATAAGGATGACAAACGGGCACACAGTCCATCAGATGGTAAGTGAATGCTGTGGTCCATAGACACCTACATCTATCCTCAATTATGCATCTATATGCGTTGTCACCGCTGAGGACTAAGATGGAATGATCCGTTACTTTTAAAAAGGGTCTCCGTATCTCTACACTCATTATACAAAACTCAGCATCCGTTATCATTGCAACCTATCAAAAGTCCACGGCTGAACATGGGCCTCCCCCATAGATTGCCCCCATAGCTACTGTGTTTAGCAAGGTTAACAATTGCGGCTTCTTATGTTTTATACAAGCGTAATCAGGAAGACGCTGCTGAGAATCTCCTGGTTGTTTTCCCTCTGTCGTCTCTCACGACACCCACGGGATGATATGGGGTAGTGGATATTCTTACACCACTAGAAACACAGTATCATTAAGCTGCTATTTTAGATTGGTATTCTGTAAGAGCGTAAACTTTCTCCGATCTAGCCGACCCATTTGCTACAACCATAGTATAGCGGTAGTGTGGCTCTACTACGGATATCAGAGTTCAGATTTTGTGATTTTTTTTGGCTCGTAAGCTGGAGGGGCTTACAACGATGACAAGAAATGCTACGAAGCTTCGTTCTGATCCAGCTATAATAACTTACCTTTATCCTTATCATTTATTTCCACTTCAACGTTTTCTTTCAAATCACAAGCTGTTTCCAAATTCTTCTCATCAAACGACTCCTTGCAATATAAAAGTTCCTTGTTGAGGTTTTCTTCAGCATTTGTTTTCACTAAATTTTTCAATTTCTCTGCAATTTTATCAATCTCCGAGCCGCCTCGGTTCGCGCTTTTCATAAATTCCCTGTTCTTGATTTCTTCAATGATTGGCGCCAAAGGTTCCTTTTTAAATTTTTTCCTTTTGCCCACTTCAGTGATCTTCGGCTCGGTGGACACATCATTGCGTTCATCAGAAAATTGCGTTCCAGTATAGGTGGGTATTCTTTTTATTTTTCTTTGTGCGAGTGTTCTCTCCGTAAATACTTTGCGTTCCGATTTAGCCCCGCTGGAACGTAAGTTATATGTGGATTTATCAAAATCTTTTTTATGCTGAAATGTGTTTTTCTTTGTTTCTGGGGAATTTATTGCTTTCTCGCTTTCCGACGCGTAATCGTAGATTTCAGTTTCGACGAATGTTTGGAGAAATTGACTCTTTTTAAGGAGTTGGAGGTAAAATCGAGTAGAAATCGGTACCTTGTCGTGATAAATTGTTTCATTATTTTTCAACAGTGTCTTTTGCTTCTTGAGTATAAACTTTGGTGTTCGTCCTGGTTTGAGTTCATCTATAACAAGTGCTAAAATTAAAAAATTTGTACAACCGACTTCAATATAAATAAAATGAGAACATCGTCAATGTAGTCGAAGTCAATTAAATAGGCATTATTAAGGATAACTCATAAACTACTGGTCAGATATTGGTGTAATTTATATGGGACTACATACGAAGCACCAGCTTTCAAATAATAGAAGAATCATCAAATTGTTCACCCAGAAAAAAGTACTGAGATGACGACACATAAAAAAATTCAGTCGAATTGAGAACTTCCTCCTTTTTTGAAGTTGGTTGAAAAATAACATTCTATTTATGCATCATGCATCTATCTTATCAAAAGACCATATTCCTAAAATGGCTCCGGGCACAACTCGACAAGCGGATAGCCAAGCGCAGCTTTTTACTACTTGTTTTAAATTTAAAGAAATAAATATTTTAACTTTGGCCTCTCAATATATTTACGAGAACTTATCGTATGTACACAAAAACAAAAATAGTTTTATTAAAAATATTAGTTATACCAGTTACTCGACTCCAAAGGGTCAGTAATTCCTTCATGGGGCAATGTATACGCTTTATCAACAAAGTCCCAGAAATTATGCAGACCTTTTCTATCAAAAGGTTTAAATTATTTATTAAGCAAAAATTGTCTAGTAAGGATTATTAAACTACTAAAAACCACATGACTGATAATAACCCCTGGGAAAGAGGTGATCACTACCATGCTGATTCTAAATGTTTTTATAGTAATTGTATAAAATATTATATTGTAAATTATGGTTTTTAAAAAAAAACTCGCGCTGGGTTGATTGCTGGTTGTTCCCAGGACAGAGGTTTTTTTTATGCGAACCAGTGGTAAGAGTAAAAAATAACTTCCAATAAGTATTATGTACTATAATCTATATTGAATAAAAATTATTCTATTCTATTGTTTTTACTGATTATCTCCTGTTTTAGTTCCCCTTTGTTTTATACTAGCGCTCCGCCCCGGCTTTACACGGGTGATATCTGGATTTCGTCAAAATTTTATCATTACCGGTCCAGCCGCTTTCGTGGAGTTCAGTTACGTACACACTAACAGAAGAATTATATAAGTGTATAAATATGTAGGAAGTATAGTGGGTATAGTACAGAGACTGATTTTTCGTTTACACGAATTAATTATCCAACGAGTCGAGGATAAACTAGTAACGGAATACGACAAGTGCACCGTTCCACGTCAGAGCCAAGACTGCCTTAACGGCGGCCGCTCCGTCCGTTTTATACAAGCAAAACGGGCACCATCGCAGGTGCAATAGTGCAGGTGTGCAGAGCACGTGTTATTTACAAGAATTCTGTCTGGCTACACCGACGTCGTCGCACGTGCCGTCACGGCCATACTGACATGCGTGCGTCCTCGCACGCGCTCCGTCACAATCTTAGTTATCTGTACACAGAAAAACATCGGTCGATACTCCTGACAAAACAGCGTCTGGTCCGGTCTATATTGACCCTTCAGACTCGGGTGACAGTCTGTTTTGTTCCGGCAGTAAGCCCTACAAAACTTTAATCATCTTTATGTTAGATCGGAATGATTAGTCTGTAGCTTTTTCTATTTTCTCTTTTTTTTTTCAAGTACTGTTTTCGCTAGTCCGGAATAACAACTATTCCCTATAGCCATATCATTGGACCGGCACAAAGCCCTGCAATGATAGTAAGAACAATTTTTTTTCTTACGCTTTTTTTTTTCAAGTACTATTTATGCTAGTCCGGAATCACTATTCCCTTTAGCTATATCATTGGACCGGCAAACGCCCTGCAATGATAGTAAGAACCTCATTTTTTTTTTCTTACACTCTTTTTTTTTTCAATTCAGAATAGAACAGTTACAGACCAACCATACCGCAAACATGTCCCCGTCACAATCACACAAAAGTTTATTGTGAGGGACGTAGTGACACACGATAACACTTAAGTATGTAAACCAACAGCAACTCGACACATATCCCAGTGCAGCACTGACCAGCCTCCCTGCAACTTCATGCTCCTTTCCTGCACTGGAATAATTACTTCGCTAGAGTGTTGCAACGTCTCTAGTATTTTCTAGATGCACAGACACGGCTACCTCCGACTGTCTCACGTCCTCGTGCGGTTGACAGTGAACAGCATACGGTCTATCAGTTATCACCACCTGCTAACAGATATTAACTCTTGTTAAATATTACAACGGTCGACCATCCCAGACTTCATTTCAGTCTGGAACGCGCTGATATGGCTACCTCCAGGCAAACGCACTACAGCTTTTCGTTCTGCTGCGTTCGTACCACATTCGCGCCAGCAAGCCGTCGCGCCGTACTAGCGCTAGCGAATCGTCACACTGCTTTGCAAAATTAAAAGAAATCGAGATAAATGTATTGCGAACCATGGAATTCAGAGCTTCCAAAATTCATCACATATTCTCTTATGAAACGGCAACTGTATGACATTTGAAAACATTTCACAAAAAAACGGAAACTATGTGTAGGGATGGATACCATCACATATTTCAAAGGGAAGGAGGCAACTGCGCAAAATCTACGAAAGCCGACCAAGCCTCAGACGTTCATTTACAGCACCAAAGGACCATGTGTTCGGCGGCCGCTTGAATTGCCCTGCCGTAAGATCAGCCGATAAGTAACCGATTGTAGCGGTGTAGGCTTAATCTAACCAGCGCTCGGCCGTACCTGACCATGTTCGATTAGCCATCACAACGTCTTCCTCATTGATCATTGTTGTAGAGACTTCTACGAATCCCTCGAAATCAAACCCCAATCTTGTCAACGACACAATATTCGGAGCAAACTGCAACACTGATCAACACATTAGAACACAAAAATGTCACTTATTATTTTTAATTCATAGCGTGTTAAAGTTAATCCTTTATTGTAGTACAACCTTTAAAAGTTTTGAACTTCAAAATATAGCAAATGATAATCATGTTTCGCGTGAACTATCAAATTACAACAAAACGAGAGCAGCAGGAGCACCTGAGGGTTTACAAGCATTGTCGGGGTTGTAGTCATCATGATCTGCGTGAAAAACAAATTGTTAACTATAAGGACAACATACACAGTTGCCTGTTCTCTCATCTATCACAAATACGAGGCCCTAAAACAGAAATACGTTCTCATACCTTGGACTATAATAAAGCACTTTGCTTTCACAAGTAAACATAGGTCTTCATACGAAGTATCTGACACATACTCTTACTTGAACTTGCGAGTTCCCACGTTAACTACGTGAACCACATTAAAAACGTGAACCAGGACAGCGCCTGCCAGGACAGAGCCTAATACATGTTCCGAAAACATTACCGTGCACACAGCATACGACTTCCGCGCACACAGTGTGACTCCCACGCATACAGAGTACACGACTTCCGAGGCATCGCCATGTACAGCATACGCGCGCTCCGGGATGGCGCATGCGTATACGCGCATACGCATCTGCCGAAACCAGGCCATGTTACAGCTGGACCTGGCAGTCCGTTACGACCAGCAAGGCACACACTCACGCACTTGTAATCACATCACACGCGCTACTGTAACACATAAAAGAAAACATTAAAAATACTCAGTCGGAACTTGATTTCAAGAAATGCAGCACTACTCTTGGTACACCATTCGCCTTTCTAGGGCACCAAATACTGAGCTGCGGCTACACGACAACCTCTGGTATGGTCCGGTCCTCATGTAAACTTAAATACTCCCTTCAATGTCAGAACTAATTGGCTCTACTTCACTTTCATCGGTTATACTTCGGTTTTCCGGCATTTTTCGCAACCAATTAAAAATGTAAACACTCATTCTTACAAAATAGTTTCTGAGCCAATGTTTAGGATAAATTTACTTTCCTCATGTATCTAATGGTGATCAATAGCAGCGATAAATAATAAGTCCGCGGCGTCATAAGCCGACAGCATACTCAAAAGCGAGCGCTACAGCTCCACGCTTTCCACTAAACCATTCCAAGTTTGTCGACTACGTAATGCTCGGAGTAAACTGTAACACTTTATCATCACATTAGATCACAAAAATACTACTTAGTGTTTTTAAGTCATAGCACGTTAAAGTAATCATGTTCTTTTTTTTCGGTACATCGTTTAAACATTTTGAACTTTAAAACTAGGCCATGTAAATCACACCTCGTGTATCAAATTATAACATTACTTGAGCAAGTTAAACATCCACTGAATGCAAACTATAACTCATTCAGAATATCTCCAACATTTCTTTCGACATTTGTTATCATATTTGGGTACGTTAAGAAATAATGAAATTACTTGCGGGTACTTTCTATTATAAATTGAATAAAAAGATTTAACTTTTGACTTAAATAATTTCACTTTATCTTTTCTCTACACTTTAATGATACGACAATATCGTAAGTACGACAGCAAATTTCATTACGGTATTTAACATAAAAATAGAATCATCAATGCAGAATGCATTATAGTCTTTCACAAATGTAATAATCCTCATACTATTCGAAGATTGTACGTGGGCAAAAATGGGGACTTTATCCCACTTCTGATGTAGGAAGTATAGTGGGTATAGTACAGAGACTGATTTTGTAGTTAGGAATAATAATTAATTCGTTTACACGAATTAATTATCCAACGAGTCGAGGATAAACTAGTAACGGAATACGACAAGTGCACCGTTCCACGTCAGAGCCAAGACTGCCTTAACGGCGGCCGCTCCGTCCGTTTTATACAAGCAAAACGGGCACCATCGCAGGTGCAATAGTGCAGGTGTGCAGAGCACGTGTTATTTACAAGAATTCTGTCTGGCTACACCGACGTCGTCGCACGTGCCGTCAAATATATATATATATATATATACTAGCTGACCAGGCAGACGTTGTTCTGCTCTTTCCGACGACCCTTGTCTCTAATAAAAAAAAAACGGAAATTCGCAATAAAAAATATTGATGGTCACTTAACGGGATAAAAACTATCCTATCTCTCAAGTTGAACCAAACTGCACAGTGTGCAAAATTTCATTGAAATCAGTTCAGAGGTTTAGGAGTTCATCGCGGACGAACAATGTGACATGTAATTTATATATATAATCATACATTTATACTTTCCTCTTGAATCATTCTATCTTTTGATGAACCCCATCAAAATCTGTAACGTAGTTTAAAAGATCTAAGCGTATAAACGGCGGGAAGCGACATTGAAAGCTTTTTTTAGCGCCCTTTGTAAGTGTAAAATCCGTTCTTGGTAATATTTAACATGCTAAAAAGAATTTTCTAGACAAGTTTTATACGTATAAGAGCTATAGTTTGCAACGCAACCCTCCTTGCAGGTGAAATTTTATAAAATCCATTCTTGGTAATTTTTAACATGCTAAAAAGAATTTTCTAGACAAGTTTTATACGTATAAGAGCTATAGTTTGCAACGCAACCCTCCTTGCGGGTGAAATTTCGTAGAGATATCGTGATATATTATAGATAAATCGGAAATCTTGCAGCTGTTTTTTTTTTAATTCATTTGTAACTAGATAATAATTGAGTGTTGATTATTTTTATATGATTTTGTAAGGATTTTACCCACAAAATAGGCGTTGGCAGAACAACGTAAAAAAATGGTTATAAGGAGGTGAGTATGGACAAGCATTCATGCAACACGTGGTGACGTGGTAACGCGGTAGAGCCATGCTACAGCTATATTATGGTTGCAGCACGAATGGATCGGCTCGACTGGGGAAGGACCACCATTATAGCCTATCAGAAGTCCACTGCGGAACTTATGCCTGCCCCATAGATTGTTTCATGGGATTGTTTCATACCACGTATATTCTGCTTTTTTTAAGGAAAATGCTGCTGCCCATTTCCTGGTTCAGCTTCCCACTGTCGCCTCTTACGTCACCCACGGGGTGATATGAGGTAGTGGATATGCTTACGCTCCCACTACACTGTGAAAGACCATGCTTTCACTGTATACCAAGGTAAAATAGCACCCGTAGCCTCCCTTGTTTGAAGTTGGTTGCATCTGTCCATGGACTGAAGTAGCCACCTACTATCAGATTGACAGTAAGTTCGTTTGTCACTTTAGTTTTATATAAAATATATAAATAAATAATTAACTTTATATTTCTTCAAAACAGCACCAATTTATTTAGGGTCAGTGAACATTAATACATCCAGATGGCTTAGATTTTCAACTCGTGAGTGTCTTAATTTTCTTATAGAGTTATAATTACAATGTATTTTGTACCTGACTATAATCTATGGGGTAACAACAGACCTGTCTCGTTTTTTGTTTAGAATTGATATAAATCGATGGACTTTAGTGACTTTACTATCAGGTCGACTGTAGACTCGTTTTGATACTGTACTTTGTTTGGCAAAAATTATTATATGGTTGATGTCACTTAAGTTCTTAATAAGCCCTTCGTTTCGTTTATAGTCACTGCATCTCCGTATGAGATAAAGTGTGTGAAGATATTTTACGCTAAATTATATTCTGTAATATTAGCCGCATAAACACAGAAATTAAAATTTTGTTGATATATTGTTTTGAATAAAAACTTAAAAGATTAAAATATGGACGAAACAAATATTTGTCCAATAATGTACACACTTCATTCTTTATATGTCAGAAATCATAAAGGAGAATATTAAATAAGCAACTTACTTTCAACGTAATTATTTCCGTATTCATTTGTGAAACAAAACTGAAATGGTTTCACGGACCTCAAAAAACATCTAGGCATTTTAATTTGCAAAAATATTGAGATGATCAGTGATATCAATTGTATAAAATTAAATTGAAAGTGCCTTTTAAAAGTAATACAGTAGAGCACTTGTTATGACGGGTCAGAAAACATGCGCTAAAAGTGTTTTTAAATCAGACTTCGGGCATTCCAAATTTGAACCAACTCGGTTGCCAGCGTCATTGTTTCCAGCTTGCAGTTTCTATAATGAGTATTTTTTTTAAATCAATTGTCGTATTATGTGTATTGCAATTTTAAAAAATAACTCGAATATCACAAATATAATATTTACTCGTCATTGGTGGTAAAGATTTTCCACAAAATTTGTAAGGTGAAATTACAGAAAAAAAATAATTTGTTGTATTTTATGTTTAAATTACAAATGACAAACATCCAAACCAAGAACAATAATTGTAGGCCAGTTAAACACATGTTTCGTGTGTAATTCGAACCCGCGACCCCGCAGTCTTTAAACGGGAAACTTGCTACTGTGTTACAGAACCAAAATATATTCCTTCTTAATAGTAAGAGTGACAGACGAGCACACAGAACATCTGATGGGAAGTGGATGGAACTGTAGTCCATAGCCACCTATATTTGTTCTCTTTAAGAATCAAAATACAGATTATCACCTCTGAATACTTATATAGACTGACCATCCATCAAGAATCACCTAGTAAATATGGGAACAAGACTTCAAAGAGTATACCAGATTAAAATTACTGAATGCGATGGAATGGTCATCCAACAAGGATATTTTAATGAAAAGGGGAGAAAACGAGACATTAAAGAGTGTAAATCGTATTATTGTAAAACTTTTTTTTAGAGAATTAGGGTGACAATTACAAACGAACATACAATGTGAATCATATCAGGTGAACCTGATGGTAAGTGAGTAGTAGACTACCCATACGAAACACAGCAGCATAGACATCTATATCTACCCTCGGTTAAGAATCAAGGCAATGAAAATTTAGAATCAAAATGCAGATGGGTTGTCAGCCGTGACAACGTAAGATGGAATGCCTCTTTTACCATACAAAACATAGCAGCATTGAGCTGCTATTTTACGATGGTAGTGTGTGAGATGTGTGGCCCTTCCCCGGTCGAGCAGATCCATTCGTGTTACAACCACAGTATATTCGTGCTCATAGATATATTATAAGATACTAGATTGGCGATGGAGTAATTAGGGCGATACCAAAATCAAATTACACCAGTGTGCATGAAATGTACATATGTGGGAATACATGAAATGTACATAATGCTACTGCATTCCACAAAGAAGGCTACATCGTTGTCACCGTGGAAACGTTAACTTTTTAGTAGGTTTACCTATATTACTACGTGCACTTTAGTACTTTTTAGTACACGTTTCATCATTTAAATTTTTTGGAACATTGAGAAACCTATTCAGATCCTTACCTATTTCTATAATTTATAAATAAAATTATAATAAGTTTGTGTGTAGCTACAGTCACACGTCATAGTAATAACGTGTGACTACAGATACACACAAGCTATTGACAAGAGGTCTTGAAATGTAGTTTGGGTTTTATTTTGAATTTTTCATTATGTTTTAGGGAATAACAAGACAAACAAAGTACAAACAAAAGTTGTTAGATTTATGTTTTCCTTCAAAGAGAACTAATTTATTCTAAAAATGTTGTGAGCTCTCCTTAAAGATATTTTGCAATTTTGCTACATACTTTATTCTAAAATAATAAAAGAAAGTTGAAACAGGTAATTTTATTAATAAGTATTTATTTTTGGATATGTCGTAGTTTATTAGTGCATCTCTATGAGAGAAATATTTTTTATCTAAGTAAATGCATATATATAGTCGAATATTTTCTTTTGGAGACCCATTCTTCTCCATTTATTATTTTCAACCATTTTTGTCAAACATCGATATTTTGTGAACATCTGCCATAGCATTCACTTTAACATCAGAGGGACTTTGTGCTCGTTTTCACCCTAATTGTATTAAAAGAAAATATTTTTTTCATACAATAAGAAGAATGTTTAGTTGCGGAACAAAAAATTTTAAAACTTTTACGAAGTTGAACAAGGCTGCATGCACGGCATACCTTTGCCCTTACTGAAAAAGGCAAAGAACACATAGACTTAGAATATACTGGGGAAAGAACATATCAATAACATATTTTTATCTATAATGTCAATCTCTCTCATCAGGGTGGATCTTTCAATTTTTGAATCCATCTGTCCATCCGAGAAATTTACACACAATCATAATTTTGTCCATATTGTGTGGGTTGGGAGTATAAAAATAAAGCGAGAGAGAGAGAGAGGTATCGCTATTTCTTTCCTTCCCGTTGCCATTTTAGAAATGAGATACAAAAATACATATTATTATATCGAAAGAAAGTGAAAATGTTAATTTTGTGTCAAACTTATTGTGGTTTGCACCTTAGAGTTTTGTTACATACATATTACTCTGAGATTTGCACAATTAATTTACCTATTAATTGATTAAAATTCTATCAAAAGAAATCAAGAATTAAGAGAAGAAAAAAAAATTACATTTGTTTGTCAACGTCTTTTATATATTATGTAATATCGTCGTGAATATACAGTAAAGATCCGTGGTGGCTCAGATGGTTAGCGCTCGCTGTAAATTTTACAGTAGGTACGTGAGCAACCCGGGTTCAATCTTTTGTTTGAATTCTAAGTGCTGATTTACCACGTGCTCGGCGGTGAAGGAAAACATCGTGAGGAAACCTGCATGTCTGAGAAATAAAAAAAAATTCGAAGACATGTGAAGTACGCCAATACGTATTGGGGTAACGTGGTGGACATTTCCTTGCCCTAAAACCCTCTCAGAAATGAGGGGAGGCCTGTGCCCAGCAGTGGGACGTATATAGGCTATAACTTTAACTTTAACTTTTATACAGTAAAGATCCTCAAAAATATTGTAATTGAAAATAAAAGTATACTTACTATTTTTCCAAAATTATACCACGTTTGACGTTAGATGTTTTTTCTGTATCTATTTATACGTTTCATTTTTCGGCGTTTTTGTTCTGAATTGAAATAAAATTGAATTACGATATCATGTTCATTGCAAAATCAAAAATATTGCTATGAACATGATTTCGTCACTGTCAGATAGAACGAGATAGTAAAACGTCACATGAAGAATTCCCAGCTACCCTGTCGTTATCTGATTTGGTGTTACCGAATATACAGAAATTCTCGATATTGTAGGGTAAATATTAAAAAATAAAAGGACCACCAATAATACAAGTCCGTCGACCTGAAGATAAAATTATGGTATCTTCGCGTAGTATAGTGGCATAGTACAGTATAAAAATTAAGCACAAAGGTAAGAGGAAACATCCCAACATGAGGAACTAAATTACTCTCTGGGGTTGCTTCACCACTAATTAATGAAATAGTATTTTAGCCTATGAATAATTATTATATGTACTTCGAAATCCAGCCCTGGTTATGTCGTCGACTAATGCAACGCGGCACTGATGTAGTTCGTATGTGTTATGAAAAATGGTGCTACTTTTAAGGTATAAGTAAAATGTTTAGATATGCGTATCCTTCCTTTTCAAATCATTGCTATTAATGAATTCATTATTTTAAAATTTTATGCACGATGTGTGATCATAAGTAAGTTAAGTGTTGTGTGAACGAAAAGAACAAAATCATCTGATCACTTTCCGCAGGTTTCCTAAAATGGGAAAACAAAAACTATGACAATAATGTGAGTAGTAGTATTAGTAGCATATACTGTAAGTCTATAAAGATTTTGAATTTATTGACCGTTATTTGTAGGAATAATTACTATATTGACTCGAATTTTATTTGTTCCAGATCACGTATTTGGGCTGAGTTAAGTTTTATATATGTTAAATAATATACTGTGGATAAATTATTATTGTGTTACGATAATAACGTACCTACAGTTTATAAAACAGTCTTCCAGAAAATAAAACTACATAACTATACCTATTTATAGATTTACTTTATCCCACATGCTACTATAAATTCGTGTAATTTTGGTGCAACCTCTCAAATGTATGGGAAATCAACCAAAAGCTTTGTGAGGCTTGAACCAAAATAACTCGAATTTGCCTTAAATAAACACATACAAAGGTTTAAATTCCCGGGAAAAAAGTTTTATATGGGCGCCCACCGTGGCGCTAGTAGTCTACACTCATGACGCTTGTTACATTTTTTTTTGTTTGAAGAAAGTATTCTTGTCTCGGTAGAGAGAAAATGTGAAAAGGTGTCTAATATACAAAAGTGAAATTAAAATTAGCAGGATTACACGTATTTGTAATTACTGTAAATTCAATTCGTTTGCATTCAGATCATTATTATTACAAAATATGATAATTTATTCCATGCATTTGTGTACAAACTGTAACTGTTCTAAAACACAGCTAAACATTTCAATCGTAGCTACTGGAGAAATCAATAATAATGAGGGTTTTCTTTCTAAGGTGTATTATATTTAGGTATCACAAATACCCTTCGGCAAATTGTACTAAAGTCCGAAGAGTACAATATGTTATCATACGCACATTTACCTTCCCTATAAATTGCCTCAAGGAGTGAATTTTTACATAGTGGCCACGCAGTTGTCAACCGCAACTTTTTATAATCTTGAGTAGTTATACGGAAGATGCTTCTGCCCTTCTCCTGGTTTGTTTTCCTCTGTCACCACTTACAACATCATCAGAATATTGGGTAATGGATACTACCCCCCCCAACCCCCAACCCCCATAGATTGCCTCATTATATATTTGCCATAGGCGTAGAACCTGGGCTTGTCTATTCCACTTCGGATGTGTGTTGGTAGGCTGCGGCGAAAGCGTCCTCTCCCTCTACCGCTGCGGCCGAAGTGGAGTCGCGGAGGAAGACGAGTATTGGTATGGCGGTGCGCCACTTGCCCTATGCTTCGTGACTCTGATGGGGCCGCACCGTTGATACGGTGGTGGTGGGGCAACCGGGGAGAGGAGTAT